TGAAAATTCAGGTATAGGAAGTTGAAATTTCAAAAAAATAACCTTAAATTTAGATTGATGCCACGAAATTCTTCGAGGTTAGTGATGCGAAACTTTATCGAGACGGCGATGAGACTTTGTTGTGTGCTAGGTAACGAAATTTTAAAATCACATATTCTAGAAGAAGAAGAAGAATTTGATTCATTTAAACATTAAAAAAAAGAATTTTAGTTGGGTTCAACAAGATGTGAATTGCAGTGTGCTTGAGCAATTCGTCACCTTGTTTCGAGTCATCGATGAGGGGATCGTTTTTGTGGAAAAGGTTCGTTTGCTTGATAAAATTAAAAGTTTGATAAATGGAGAATGAAAATGGAGATTGAAATAGGCTTAAAACAAAGAATTCTAATTCTGGAAACTAGACTTACCTGATTTATAAAAGTTTCAGTTTTCACTGGATAAACCATGGGCCTCAACAATGATCATCAATGATCATGTCAATCATTCACTCCTTGTACTCTTCCCACTTCGAGCTGAGCCAATTTTCTTTAAGGTAAATGTAACAATGAAACAAAATCATTAAAATTATATAAAAATTAAAAATATATATTTTTAAAATCCAATATATTTTTTATTTTTTTTTTTTTTTTTTTTTTTTTTTTTTTTTTTTTTTTTTTTTTTTTTTTTTTTTTTTTTTTTTTTTTTTTTTTTTTTTTTTTTTTTTTTTTATTTTTTTTTTTTTTTTTTTTTTTTTTTTTTTATTTTTTTTTTTTTTTTTTTTTTTTTTTTTTTGGTTTTTTTTTTTTTTTTGGGTTTTTTTTTTTTTTTTTTTTTTTTTTTTTAATTTTTTTTTTTTTTTTTTTTTTTTTTTTTTTTTTTTTTTTTTTTTTGGTTTTTTTGGGGGGGATTTTTTTTTTTTTTTTTTTTTTTTTTTTTTTTTTTTTTTTTTTTTTTTTTTTTTTTTTTTTTTTTTTCTTTTTTTTTTTAATTTTTTTTTATTTTTTTTAATTTTTTTTTTTTCCCGGTTTTGTTTTTTTCTTTTTTTTTTTTGTTTTTTTTTTTTTTCTTTTTTTCTTAATTTTTTTTTTTTAAAAAGGATTATAAAATTAAAATAATTTTAATTTTTTAAATTTTTGAAAAAAATTTTTTAAAAGGGGATTGATTTAAATTAATCGACCCTCTCTTCTCGATAAAATTTCAGGTATCTAGTGAGAAATTGGATCATTTCGATGCGTCAAGTGATCCAAATTTCGTGAGCCTTGCTTCGAATGTGAATAAAGGTAAGAACTTTAGAGAAAGAAGCGGTAAAGTGAGTGAGCCGGTTTTGCCCTTTTGTTGGTGTCATTATGCCCAAATTTTTGAGAACAATTTCTCCCCAAATTCCCCCAAATTCCCCCAAATTCAGCTGTATTTTTTACTACAAATTCAACATCCTGCGAAAGCAAAACTAGCTGAAATACTCAAGATTGAAATGATCAGCAAAACCGTTTTCGTTCTTTAATACCTGATAAAATCGGATAGAGGGTACATTATTGATAAACTAATTTGTGCAATACACTCAACTTCAGCTTATTTTTTTATTATTCTTATTTTAGATCTGATACTCCGAAGTTCGCGTCATATCGATCGCGATTTTGTGTGGAATGCTGTCGGAAGTGATGCTGGGATTTTGACGATTTCTCTTCACAACTCAAGTACCAAAACTTTAATTGGAAGGTTGATTGTATATATTTCTGTAATCATAACGAAATATACCTTTTAGCCGTTCTTTCAAATTCAGCGGTATCATTTCGATTGTCGAGTTTCTCGGGGCAAGTCGAGACGAGAAACTCTCATCCAAATATTCGGAAGTACGTGGGAGAAAATAGATATTATTTAAATCAAATAATATTTATGCAAAGATAATATTTATGTAAAGATAATATTTTAAAATGAATACATCATTTTTACAGTCTGACACTGTTTCAGGTGCTTTTATTGGTCTCCTCTTCAGTGGGGCCGACAATGATTTGGCAGTGCTGTGTTTCGGTGAGGAAATGATTCAATGATAATGCTAAATACTATAGGATTTTTTAAAAACATAACTACCGTAAATACTGTAATAGTACCCCACCCCCATAATGACGGTGCGGAGTTGAACGAGCTGTCCATAGATGTAACCCTTCTGCTCCCCATTCTACACTCATTAACGATCCCATTGGAAGCGGCCTAAATCATAAAATTCATTTTTTTCGACAAATTTATTTCCTACCGTAAATACTGTATTAGTACCCCACCCCCCTCGTACAGTCGCGTAGTCGCAAAAGTTTTTTTAGTATTTCATTTTTTTCAAAGCGCCTGTACTTTAAAAAAATGCGTCTTTGGTATCAAAAAATAGCCCTGAATTTCAGCTATTTTTTGATACCTAAGCGCACATTGTAGCATAAACCAGTGTCGAGAAAAACTCGTTCAAAGCTAGACTACGCAACACTCCGCACCGTCATTATAGGGCTGGGGTACTATTACAGTATTTACGGTATGTGCTTTCTTGTGATTCCGTTAACTTTCTAAGTTTTTCCTTTAATCATATTCATCTAGAAGCTGGGAATTTTCGGTGTGAACGTCAATAGGTGTCCAGAAAAATGCTATATCTTGACCAATTTTACAAATCAAGCATAAATTTTAAATCTTGACCCAGTTTTTGAGTTATTTGGACCTGCTTGGGCTAACGAAATAGCGGGAATAATAGAAAAGGACTATTACTATTTTAAAGTGAAGAGAATTTAGGAAACAGGAGAGTTGTCGATCGGCAAAGACGGTTGTGAGCTGCACGAAAGTACCGGCAAAGATGTAATCACTTCGGCGCTTGTCGTGAAAAATTGGATATTCGTCGGCACATATGCTGGGGTGAGTGGCGCTACCGTAAACACTAATAGAACGCCTATAATGACGGGCGTACAGTCGCGTAGTCTAACTTTGAAAGTCTCGTTCTTCGCGCTCTTTAGGTTGGTGTTGAATAAAAAATAAATTAAATTTTCAAAAAAAATTCTCATATACCAAAAAAAAATAAAAGACCGAAAGGACCCACAAGAAAGAGGATGGGGGAGGAAGTAGGAACTTGAAACGGAACTTTTTAATCCCCCGATGTTTTCGCTGAAAGAGGGTACGGGGTGGGAAAATAAAAGTCCTTGAAATCTAGTATTTTTTGGTACCAAAAGTAGTTGGAAAAAATCTAGGGACTGAGAAAAAATAATTTTCTAAAAGTTAGACTACGCAGTTGTAATGGAGTTCTATTAGAGTATTTACTGTATACTAACGATAAGAAGGGCTAATGATTAGCCCTTCTTCTCAATCTCAACTCATTCTCAGATATTCCTCGTCTACCAACGTCCAAAGCTTTTCGATCTCTTGCCAGAAGTGCTCGACACAGCCTATAGTGTTCGTTTAGAATTTTTAATTTAAGGCTTTACTAGAGTACTTTAGTGCTTGATATACTCTATAAAACTATATTACCAATTCCCATAGGTTGACATCTCGTCTCCAATCATCTCTTTGTGTGCTTTAAGCGATGAAGGGCACATGGACGGGGTTTTAACGACCGAAGGTACTGTAATCAATTTCAACCTAAATTAAAAGCCAATATAGTAAATGCAAATTGAATGAGTGTAAGCCTAAAGTTTGAATGCTAAGGCTTCACGTGATTCACCACAAGAGCGGGTCTCCATGACTAGTGGGCCAGAGCAATGCAAAAGTTGAGGAGAGTGCCGAAGAAGTACTCGGAAGGCTAGCAGTAGCTAAAATAAACAATCTCTTGGCTACTGTAAAAAGCCAGTTATGCGCTATACCGTAAGCGTAAAACAACCAGGATCCAAAAAATACAAAGTTGGAGTTATTGAGTACAAAAAGTCTAGGACGAGATCGGAGCCGAACGATGATAGGAGCAAAAGCTGACTGAAGATCCGGTACTACGGATAGAGCCAAAATCTACACTGGGGACCCGAGACCACTGTACCGAACTCACCGAATAATTTGGCAATAAAAAGTCCACCAAAAGAAACTGCGCCTGAAATAGAATAGCCGAAATCGTCGAGATCTCCCGAAGTGGCGGAAGGTCGAGACCTGATAGGATTCTATACGATCGGGCCCGGCTCTGATTTTCGGACCAAAATGCGGAAATTGTATATTAGTTTATATTAAAAATACCCTTTACTTGTCAGCACCCTCACTTCAAAATATTCCTAGTTCATCTTTTATCCGAACTTATCAACCCTTTCCCCGGCCACATTTTTCTTTTGGCCTCCCTGCCTCACCTTTTAATCTTCAGATTCCAACCTGCTAGTGGAAATATTTGAAGTGGGTATCAGGGGTAAGTATCTCATGTATTATCTATTTTTAGTATGCTCTAGAGATTTAACAAACTATTTTTAAAAAGGATTATTCAAAACTATGAACGGAAATTCATTTGGAAATTCATGTCCATTGATTTTTTGAGCCAAAAGCGCCAATCCGAACTGACGCTTGCCATGGCTCCTGAGTCTGGTTTTGCCCACAAATTTAAGCACTAATTTTTAAACATGCTTAAAAGAATCTAAAATGCTCCTAATAATAATCTAACTGAATCACAATTGCAAAACCTTAAGCTTGGAACAGCTCGCAGTGTAAGAGGCTCGGCCAAAGCGCTGGCCTTCATTGTTGCTGCTGACTCAGCTGCTTCTTGGCTATCTGAATAGCTTTATTTTTAGGGTATTTGTTACTAAATAGCTATCTAAATATAGTTAATATCTTAATCCACGCTAGATTTTTCACTCTGCACTCTTACCTCTCCAATCTCTTTTATTGTTTGCGAATTGGTAAATGATGACCCTCTTTTCATATAGCCAGACTACAGGCAAAATGTATCTAAATCGAAGTTTTAAGGTACAAAATTTTAGCCTTAGACTCACTATTATCAATATTCCTCTTATCAGAAAGTACCTAAAGAAATCTTTCCTTAACTAACTGGCTGGCTAACTGGCTAACTAAAAAAATCTTCTCTTAACTAATTACGTTCTTCTACTAACTACTGTCCGATCTCCTGGCTGCGCTCTCCCGTGCTCAGTTATTGCTTGAGACCGATCTCCAACCGTGAGACCAATCTCCTCTGGAGGAGCTGATTCTTCAAATGACCCAAATTTGCTGCTTCCAGTAGTAAGGCGTAAATCTAAAATCTTGTCTTTGACAGAACACAAGCTAATATCTCTACCGCTCCTCCCGTCCCTCCAACCGTTTCCTGAAAGATTGCGATCAGTTGCGAGAGTAACCATAGCCGGATTTTGCCAGTGAAGACTCTCATTTGCTTCCAGAATACCTAGAATTTTGAAGTGTCATAGTAACTCTTTTCTTTACATTTTTGCAAGCATGGGCTATTGTTTGTCCAATAATCTCCATCTCCGGCTGCCCATCCAAATCGTTCAAAAAATCCTGGTTTCTGATGAGAGTGCATGGCGGGCCGATTGTACGCACTTTTTAAATCAAATCCGCTTCTTCTATGATAGAATAATTAACGATTAATGCTTTCTAGACTATAGTATCAGTATACCGGGCAACTAAAGTAATCGTTACCATGCCTCGAGTTGAATACTTCGGTCCTTTTATGAATTGGGGCTGGGATTACAAAATATGGTCGGCGCCGTGGACTTGAACCAGACCTCTCAGCTTACTGGGCGATGGCTCTACTAATGAGCTACACCAATACGCATTCCTTTGCCGCCAGAGTAGGGCTTTATACCTTACTCATTCATCTTGTTACCTTTTCCAAAGTGTTGCCGTCCCTTTTCTCCTCAATCATTTGCTTCTCCTCATCCTCGACCCGATCGGGCAATCAAGCTGCTCAAAGCTACGTTGGAAAAGCTGATCCAGGAAATGCTCGCGTCCAAGCCCTCAGCATCGGTTGCAAATTCCCAATTGTGTGAGCGTTTAAAATCTCACCTAATTACCTAGATATTTGATCACTTGATCATCGGCTCCTCATAGCAGTGATGTCGATTCCTTCCCCATCGAGTGAACTCATGAAAGTCCTTGGTAGAACAGCGGAAACTTGTTGCTTAAACTAATTAAATAAAGATTCTAGGTAAAGAGAAACTTTTTCAACTGATATAGTTGACAATCTCTCCTCGTAAGATGCCCATCTCAATTCAAAGACTGAGCCGAGGTTGTTCAAGAGGAGAATGAGGGAATGATTTTGGTGATTGGTGACCAAGCTTGGCTTCCAATTATTGTATCCATCATTAGAGTGGATAATACCCCGAGCTGGCCTTTTAAGTTAGGTTTTGATAATATTGATTGTAAATACTGGGGGATAGTACCCCACCCCTGTACAGTCGCGTAGTCGCAAAGGTTTTTTAGTATTTCATTTTTTTCTCAAAGTTTTTGTACTTTCTTTGAAAAGTAGGGCCGTGTCTTTGGTATCATAAAATAGTCCTGAATTCCAGCCATTTTTGGATACCTCGGCGCGCATTGTAGCATAAACCAGCGTCGAGAAAAACTCGTTCAATGCTAGATTACGCAACACCTGCACGGAGTGGGGGTGGGGTACTATTACAGTATTTTTTACGGTAGGTTTTTTATATTTTCGATAAATATTTCCAATCACGGTTATACCTCAAATCCGGGCGACTTTTCTCCCTCGGTTCACCGTGAATGCCGAGTCCTTAAAGGTCTACTATATTCACACTGAAAGTTCGCAAGTGTTTAGCCCAGAGATCAGTTTTATATCGTTAATGTCTTGGCTAATTTGATAATACGATACTAAAGTTTGTTCAAAGTTGATTCCGTCCATGGTGCTTGACTTTTACCTCCATCTTTCCTTGCTCCACCCGAACATCGGCGGTCTGTTGGGGAGACTGCACGGGTAGAGGGAAACACCAAGTGTTGCTAAAAAAGGACTATTATCCCCTGAGATCGATTTTTCTTCACTCACCATTATCTCCCATTGAGCTTCATAATCAGCGATTTCATCAAGACTTTTCTCCTCCTAGCCTCAGTCATCGCTCCAGCCACCCAAAAAAGTTTATAGCATGTACCATTTGAAGTCAAAATTGGGTGGCACTACGGGGGTCGAACTCCGGGTCGTGCGGGTCGTAGACAAGCGCAGCCTGGGACTGCGCCACGGTGACAAAACCGTGCCCCAAAACATCCAGCCAGAAAAACTCGTCGGGAGGCTGGTCTCTGGATAAAATCCATGTGTTTCCCTACATCTAGTTCAGGGATTAGAGACTTTGGATACCTTCATAATGAGAGTTGCTGCAGCCAACCCCTTCGACTTCCAATACGATTCTCACATTTTCCAGCGCTATATCATCCGTCATCACAACCACTTGTACCTAAATCTAATTTTTAAAATTTCTTAAAGCAACCAAACTTTTCCGCCACTTTTCTTGAATTTCTGGTGCGCTAGCCCGAAATTCAGGCGATCACCCGTGTAGTTTATCACAAAGAGCACTGTTCCTGCCAGGAAATTTGGAGCATTGGGGATCAAATTTTTCACCAAACCTTCTCCACGAGTTTCCTCTCCAATGCCGCCAGAACGTGATTACTGGGCGGTGAGGCGAAAACGTCACCACAAATCGCGCCCGTTAGCAGGCCTTCCGATGAAACCTTCAAATTGGATAATTTTGCATTTCAAAATTGTAATCCTTTCTATTTGGTGACGTTACCAATCGCCTCTTGATGCTTGGATTGCTGATCGACGGGACCGATAACTTTAGATGCCCGGGAGCTACCACACAATCGAGAAAAGGACGTAAAAGAAAGGGAAAAGATATCGATGAAAAACGACGATCTTAAACCGCAAAAGGCAGCAAAGTTATTAAATCAAGAGGTAGGGTTTCTGATTTATCCATCTCGTTCATCAACTTCTCGGTCGATCTCAGATCTCGTTCTAAAGGGGGAAGGACAATTCTACTGCATAGAATGTGTACGACATTTTGCTGATGCACCAACTTTAAGCCTTCACCGGCAAACTATGGTAACGGTGTTTTTCTCAGATTATTCTTAATACAAGTTTAGTTGCACAAAAAACAAATTGCGTAGGTTGAAAAAGAAACCCCATATACGTGGCAGCAAAGCTGATATGGCGGGTGGGTTGGTGTTGTGCCACTTATAAAGGTACGTGAAGAAGCTCTCGAATATGTTGATAAAATGTTAATAAATTTAGAATTTGACGCCCGGAGAAGGAAACAAAGATCAACAAAAGAACGAGGACTCAAAAAGATGGACGATGGTTCTACGTAAAACGCACTGATAAACGATTCCTATTGTTACTGCTTTTCGATTTGCCTGTTGCTATTAAGTTGCTTTTGTTTTTAATAAATATTAGTTTCAACTGTAAATCATGTTATCAGCGACTATAGCCCTCTATGGATATTGAATTTGCAGCATTTTTCAAATCAAACTCCATGTCGCAAACGGGGCGTCCCCTAAACCTCCCAGGCTAAAAGACAATTTTCCGTTCTAAAAATCGTTCGCCGCCACACCGATGCGCAAATAGATCCTTTACAGCCGAAACAACTGATTGGCGGAGCTCCTATTATAACACTTATCGGATGAAAGGGGACATTCTCGATCGTTTTCACTAATCCTAGCAGCGCACTACCGACGACCGAATCCGGCTTGTTGATACAAACTTCTTTGTAGCCATCTATCAATATCGAAAAAAGAGAATCGGTTTGTTTTTTTGGTGTCCTGCAGATATGCCAAACAAGTCTCTCGTTCTTTTTGCTCTCCCCTTTTTTCCCAATCTCTCTCCTGTTATTGTTGACGTCGTGAAATTGTTTAAAAAGGAATGACTTGTTATTTGTTTTTAGGTTCTCGATTTCTTTGGCCAATGTCCAGCTTCAACATTTTTCGGCATTTACGTGAGTTTTTTTATGAGTTGTTAAAAGAGCGGGAAGATTTTCACAAAATATTAAAATTTGATTATTACGTAACGTCAAAATAAGCATCTTGTCTTTAAAAACTAAAATTTTTATAGTTTTTACCAACTTCGCGGGTAGTCCTTTAAGTCATTCATTTTGTAAGCTACTATGCTGAGTACTAAAACGTACCTATATCAAAAGTCTAATTTGATATTCGGAATCAACGATTTTTTTACATAGTTTTCCAAGTTTTCAGCCCAAACGGACAGACTTGACCGTTTATATATACTAGATATATAGGATTTTAGACGAACGAGAGAATGGAGTTCGTAAAGAGCCTCGTACAATCGATTTGGAAGACGGAGAAACAGATTCCGATCCCACCGATGAGCCGGTAGTTATCGCTTGCAAACTAGCGCAAAAAAGGTTTTGCCTGCTTGTAACATTAAGCTTTCAACTGCTTTAGAAAATCTTCGTCACTAGAATCGCTTGACGAGCCTGAAACTATGATAAAAACTACGAAAACAAATGTTCAAAGTACTTCCCCAACGGTTTGTTTTTTAAAAAGTGCGTAATTTTGTAAGTTTAGGAGATAAAAGTCGATCCGGACGTTATAACGCTTTCGGATGACGAGGATACGCCAAATCTCTGGTCAATCGATCGCTCAAGTTTCCCTTTATTTAAAGATTTTAAAACAATGAATTTCAGGAAACGAGACTTCGGAGAAAGATGTGCTTTATGTTTTACCGGTAAATTTTTCTCTTTATCTCAACGCTTATTTTCAATTCAGCCTCGTGAGAAGAAGCAATGTCGAAAAAATACAAAAACTCCAAATGAAACGACGAAATTTGTGGCCGTCTTAACAGGGACGTCTACATCTTGTGGGGCTGGAACTATGCTAAATGTTAAGGTTAGGATTTTATTTTTTCGCGGATAACGTTTTTAGGACAAGACTCTTATTTCAACGGATGATTACGTATCTGACGAATGCGCTAAATACTTTGAAGACCTAATAGTGCCGGGTTGCTCAAAAAAGACTCCGGTATGCATTTACTGTTAACGCAATTAAAAAAATGTTAATATTAGGGCGGCAAAAATCATGCTACGAAGGGTGATTACGTAGCAGATGGGTACGCTAAACATTTTGAGGATAAGAAGCCATCTTTAGTTGTTGAAGTACGTGTTTTGAAATAGATTCACTGATGACCTTTACCAACAGGGGTAGATGCAATAGATTTCTATTTGTTCTCTATTTTTGTAGCGAATGAAGTATTTTAAGACAACAACAAGTTGTGAATGGGGATTAAATATTTCGAAAAATTTCTCCATTCACGTTTGTTTATCTTGTAATTCCTATTTAAGTAAAACGTTTATGGTTTTCTAAAGATGCTTTGAGCATAACAAGATGCTTCTTTCTGTACTTGAGAGATCAAATTTTAACATCAGAACGCCGAAATATGTTGGTTTTAAAAGTACACTTCGACTAGTATGGACCAAAAAAATTGATACAAACAATACATAAATTTAATTCTCAGGTTTCATCACCCCATTTGCTCGTTTCACCAAATCATGAGAAAATTTATAAGCATGCCGACGTTGACAATTTAACTTTTGCTACCCGCAAATACCATAAAGAAGACGCGCGACGTTTCGAGTTTGCCAAGGTATATGTATTTTTTTACTATATTGAAGTTGAAGTTCTACTATTCTACTTAAAAACAATATATAAATTTTAGCCACCTCCACCCAGTGATGACTTTTCAAGGATTCGTCTGTGCTCATACAACGTTCTTTGTCAGTCGACTGCCGAATCTACGATGTATCTATATCCACATATGAAATCGTGAGTACAGTAAAGAATTTGTGAATTTATTTTATAGTGCGAAGCACCAATGGAAAATGGGGTGGGCGAATCGCTCAAAACACTTGAAAACCGAACTCGGGAAACTAAATGCTGACGTTTTTGGCTTGCAAGAGGTTTAAATGGCGTTATTTTGGCGTTGTTATTATTTTTTTGATTTAGGTCGAGGCTGACAAAATCGAGACGTTTTATGAACCGGTTTTCAAAAACCTTGGTAATAGAGTTAATGTTTACTTTGCATAATTCAAATTTTAGGATACACAACTTTCTACAAGAAGAAAACCGGAGAATTTGTGGATGGTTGTCTTTTGGCTTTTCGCACGGTTAGTATTTACTATTTACACAACTTTAGAGTTTACTTACTACTTGATATTTGTTTTCATTTTTATGTTGTAAAGTTTAGTCTCGATTCGCGATCAAGAAATACGAGGAAGTTGAATATTTTCTCGGCGAAATGATGGATCGTCATCAAATTGGTGAGTTTTATAATTTGATAGACCTTGTGCATGTATTGGGTTGGGGAGAATGAGTCGGCGCCGAAAATCAAAGAAATTTCTAAAACTTATAGCAGACTTTGTCAAATGATATGTGTTTGATATCCGTAGAAGGGGTAACTAATTCTCTACAAAATAATATTTAAAAGAGAACTCAAACAGCGCCTCAACTCAACAAAGGATCATTTTTTCACAAAATCGATAAACTGTCATCTAGAGTAAACGGTTGGAGGGATCTTCCTGAAAATTTGGCAACTTATGTAATTGAGTGTGCTCTATCTTTTTTATATAAACATCAAAGGAGGTTTATGTGGAAGAAACTGTTCAAGCAATGAGTCGGACTTTTTGTCATTTTGATTAGCTGTGTTTGGGAATCCATAAAATCCCAAAAAAGAAAAACTTTGTGGAATCTCTCAAAAGCCATTTTGTAAAGAAATAGTGGACCATTTTGATGAAACAAAACGTGTATTTAAAGAAGGTTTTATGGGTGCAAAAAGTTTCTTTAAATTTCGGCGCCGACTCATTCTCCCCAACCCAATACATTCAAATACGTCTTGCTTGTTGACTTAATTTTGTTTTTAGGGCAAATTTGCATTGTGACGGATACTCAAAGCGGCCAAGATCTTTGCTTTGCGAACACGCATTTGCTTTTTAATGAGAAGCGTGGTGATATCAAACTTGGACAATTGGCGATTCTCTTTGCGGGCATTCATAAGGTTTTTTCGTCTTATACGACGACAAATGTCTCTTTTCAGTTGATGAATGATTATGGAAAAGACGTTCCCGTTTTTATTACGGGGGATTTTAATATTCAGCCGTTGTCTCCGATTTATCGATTTATCACAAGAGCAAGGCAAGAAGAAGACATTTCTTATTTTTTTATTAAGCTTGATTCAGAGTTCATGTTGCCAACCTATCGCGTCATGAACTTTCGGGACAGGTAAGCGAAGTAGAAGCGAACATCTAGCTTGTTTACCTTTTAGATCAAATGTGGCTCCTCACCGGCTATTGCAAAGACTACGATTTTGCCAGTGTCATGTGGTGTGACGAGACACTCAACTTATGCTTCGAAAAATAGTGATTTAATGCAGTCTCTTAAAGAATGTTTTTATTAGGTCTACCTGATGGCGAGTGGGAACATCCGTTTATGCTCGCATCCGCGTACGATCACTTAGCTCCCGATGGAGAAGTAGGCAAAAATTCTTACTTGATTTACAAAATATTACTCAGGAAGCCGTTTCTACTTATCATACGGGCTCGGGCAACCCCGACTTCATTTTTTATTCGGTTGACAACGTGCAATCTATCAACGACGAGGTTTGTTTGATGGTTTTTTTGCGTATACAATCTTTTTAGAAAGTGGAAGTTAAAGAAATGGAAAAAATTCAGCTGGTTACACGACTTACTCTACCATCGAAAAATTTCTTGCAAAGGTACCTATTTTGTCACTTTGGGAGCACACCTCTGAACAAAATTATAGTAACTTTGTTAATATTAAGACATTAAACGTGATATATCATTTTTGTATATTTTTATTTTTTATTTCAGGACATTGGGCTGTTGGCCAAATCTCTACGTCCCATCGGACCACATTCCCTTGCTGGCCGAATTTGCTATCAAAAAAGTAACCGATACGTCGAGCCAATCAAATTCGCAAGATGTTTTGTATGTGCTTTGAGTGTTAGATTTGTTTTTCGAACTTTTGCTGTCTTTATCTAAAGCCTGGGTTTTTGGATCTGTGATACTTATTTTGTTCTTTGAGGTTTAGTGTATTCAGCAAAATTATTCGTTCTTTTACAAAGTTTATTTTCAAGTTGTTAAAAATAAATTTTTTTGAGTTCGAGGCAGAAACAAAAATGCAGGCATTTAGCAGGCACTTTTGGGGGAAAAGGTGAGTGACGAAAGCCTTATCTCTCGGGATTCTTATTGATCCGAAACAAATAATGGAGGCTCAGGGGGTGAAATATTCGTTCTAGCATTTTAACCTGATTTTTAAATCTATTTTATCCATCAAAAAACTTTTATTAACCTTTCTTTATCTATATTTTGATGAGCGACGGGGATCAGCGGTTAATTTTAGCCTGTATCTTTGAACGGACAAAACTTTAGAACGACTTGGGATGATAAAAAGCAGAGGATCTATCTTAGAATATGTGACTATGAAACAAAAGAATTCTCGGGCTTAACAACATATCATGGATTGGTGAGTGGGAATTAGAAATATTGGGTATCACAAAATTAGGTTCGAATCTACAACTCGAACACATGGCCATCGCGGATTTTTTGGTGTGTCGTCGTCTTGTCGTGTCTTTTTCTCTTCATGATACACGTTAGTATAACTTTTGCTGAAAAATTTTTTCTAGAAATCAATCCTCAACCAACAGTGCAAAAATCAAATTGACTTTAGGCCTTATACCGTATTTCTTCGAATAGAAGACCGGGTAAAGAGTATCATCGCATACTCCTGCGTGCACCCCTTTTTAAAATTTCTTTTCTGCATAAAAAGCTTTCAATCAAGTGCTATAGAGCTGGAAAATGGCTCAAAAATCTGTTAGCTCATGTGGTATTTTTGAGTCATTTTCCAGCCCTATAGCACTTGATTGAAAGCTTTTATGCAGAAAAGAAATTTTGAAAAGGGCTGCTACGCAGGAGTACGCGATGATACTCTTTCCCCGGTCTTCTATTCGAAGAAATACGGTATTTGTAACTTTTATTCGCAATTTGCATTTATTTCTTCAGAGTGGTTTCCTTTTACTCAACTATCATTCAAAGCCGACTCTATTTCAAGTGAATGTGATCGTTCCCGAAGAGGGTTTACTTTTTCCCGACATTACGATATGCAACAATAAACCGGTGTTCGCTGAGAAGTTAAAAGGTATGAGATTGGGAAATTTTTGATACAATGACCGTAATTATTCCAATAGACGGCCTAGGAAAAAAAATTATCATTTTGACAGATTTGTCAACTCCTAATCCGGGTTTTCAAGATTTTTGATTTTTTGATTTAGATTTTTGGAATCGTTTTAAGTGATAGAAGTAATAGAAAGCTTAGAAAGCTTTAAGTGAAAGAAAATTTGAAAACCTTAATTCGCATCATAACCCATAGGAAATTTCGCTGTAAACACCCATTTTCAAGTTCTTAAAAATTTAGTAAAATCTCGGACTTGGTAACGGATTCAAAAAAATAGAAAATTTTCAAAAGTTTGGAAAATAGATGCTCATGGTCGTTTATTGGAAGAATTATTGGTATCTGCTTTTTTTAGTTTAAGCAGTAAATGAGTTATTAGTTATTAGTTATTAGAAAGTTATTTCTTCTTCTTGAGTTATTAGAAATTACCGAAATTTTCATGCAACTAATGCAACTCCAATGTTTAGCCTGGAAAATGCCATCCGATGTGCTTCAGTACGTGCTTAAAGCCTACTCAAAAGATATGGAAAGTGATTTAAAAATTTTGACAAGCGAACAAGCCGAGTTTGTGGTGAGTGGGATGAAGAATGATAAATGGGAAAGCTTTTAGAAATACACAAATGACTATCGAAATGCCACCAAAAAGGTCTTCTCATTTATGGAGTTTTTCTCGAGTGTTGGGTAAATTTTTTTTTGCAATTCTTAAATGATAAATTTTTTGGAATATTTAAATACTCTGTGTGTGAGAGGGTACCGATGGGGAAATGATTATTTGATATTTATTCGGAATATAGCACAAATACTAATCTAGCGAGAAAATATTCTCGATTGATTCTATAAAATAGGTTCAGTGTTGGTTGGTTGGTTGGTTCAGTGTTTCAAAGCCAAAGAAAAGCAATACAAAGTGCTTCTCTGTCCCTTTTCTCACACAAAACGATCTTTAAAGGAAGGACTGGAGAATCAGAGATACAGTACTGGACAATGAAATATCATATTTGAAAAACGATCGTCACTTTCGCGCGTCTGTAACTTCCTTGTCTTTGAGTTTAAACTATTAGTGTTATACATTTTCTGAAAGCTCTTTTCAAGGGCTACACAATGGTAATATTAATATTTAGAAATACGGTAAAGACAAGGGAGTTACAGATGCGCGAAAGTGACGATCGTTTTTCAAATATGATATCCAGTAGTGTATTCAAAATCAAAACATTAAATAAGATTTCACAGAAAGAGCTACTTTTCTGCGCACTCTAGATTTTATTCGATTTCTAGAGCCGATTGTCACTCGATGGTCGAGTGGTGCGCGTTTGGCGGAGTGCCGTTGGACGAATGCTGTCAACAGACGCAACCAATACTGACAGACTCTGGGCTTTGCGTACGGTGGGTTACTGTTGAAAGTAGGGTTCTGTCGATTATTTAGGAGGCTTATTGTTATCTATCCGTATACCGTAGCACTGTACTGGTTATTGGACATTTGATTGGCCCCGTCCCTTTTCCCAGGCAACCTAACTTTAAGCTCAAATATTTTGGTGTTGGGTTGTTGAATTTCAATATTTTTAGTATCATTAGATGCGCCAAGTCTTTCTCTGTCGATTTTTATAAAAACTATTTAAATTGAACAACTAAACACCATGAAATTTGGGTACTTAGGGGCTATAAATCCCGCAGTCCTCATCTATGGCGATGAATCCCTCAACAACAATCGACTTCAACAATTATATGAGGGATTTTTGTGTTGAATACTTAACAGCAAAGCCTGTGCAACAAATTAATGGTACTGGATGTATTGTTGAAGTGGATGAAAGTAAGCACATATTCATATATGAGAAGTGCGAGGCCTATAATCACTAAGTACCGAAATTTGAGCTCAAATTTGGATTGCCAATGGCAAAGTGGGCGGGCGCATATCAAATTTCCCACAAACGTACTGGTGGATAGTGCTTTAGGTTTTACTCGTAAACATCATGCGAAATCTATCAATACCAAATGAAAAGCTTACTATCTTTTTACGATTCAAATAGCTATATCAATCTTTATCCAGTACGTTGTAGCTTTCCGAACTCGAAATTTCAACACCGTCAATGGTTCTCCGGGTGGGCCCACGGGTGGCAAATTATGCTGAAAATCGACGCAAATGAGGAAAATGGTGAAAAAATTGAGATTCTTTTGATACCTGAAGAAATACGGAAATTCGATTTCTATTTAAAAGTTGAATTTCAGAGAGCAACTTCTTGCCGGACGAGTTCGCTGATGAGGGAGTACGGGTGGCTGTTCATGAGGCAAATGGTAAATCTTGAAACTCTTTCGAACTTTTATAGAAAAAAAGCAAATGCTATATTCTGATGAATTTATTTTTGCTCTATCAAATGGACGATTCTAGAGTGATTTTTTTCTTTAACTTCAGCAAAAGAATGAGTCTAGAGTTCCCATCGATGAGGGCTCATTCGGTTTCTGTACCGCCGGGCACCACTCTCTACACGGGAATCGATGTGAGAAATGTAAGAGATTTCAGTGGAAATATGTATTATAAGCCTTGCGACTATAGAACTTTCTTTAGGTGACTCTATTGGCTCGTCACGATTGGGGACTCTGTCAACCGGATTGGGATCCAGCCATTCATGGAGATCTCGTTATACCTTTTGGGGTAAACTGATAAAGCTTAAATAAATGTTAAAAAGCGAAATTTGAATTAAGATCAATTAAGAGTGGTAACTTGAAACAATTCAAATTTTCCAGTACTCTTCTCGACATTGTGAGGCGAATTGTCTGATGAAGAGGTATCTGGAGATTTGTGAGTGCGTCCCTTTAGCGGTCACTTTAGCTGATCAGGTTCGTTGATGAGCTTTTGCATAGAGTGTGTTCCTCGCGAGTAAGTAAATTTGCCTGCGCGAAAAAAATATAAAAGCAATTTTTTGCGCCGGTTTTGGGGGGTGGGACAAATGCGACCTTTTTTGCGCACCTGGACATTTGCGCACCTTTTTTTTTGCTGGAAAAGGCCTTAGGAAAGGTCGTAGAGCTTCGAAAATATTTCCATATAAGAGAATCGTATGCGTAGATTCCGAATTTCGACAAATTTGACGTGTCAGCGAGGTCTGATTTGTCGAAATTCGGAATCTACGCATACGATTCTTTTATATGAAATATTTTCGAAGCTCTACGACCTTTCCTAAGGCCTTTTCCAGCAAAAAAAAGGTGCGCAAAAAAAAGTCGCATTTGTCCAACCCCCTCCTTTTTTGCAATAATTTTTTCTAAAAGTACGGTAATTTTTTTTGCCAAATGTGCGTTTTAAAAAACGCATTACTCGCGAGGAACACACTCTATTCATTAATATTTTGATATATTTCGTACAGAATTGAATTTAAATTTAATAATTTTAAATTTAGTGTACAGAATTGAATTTAAATTTAATAATGGTTTCAAATTTTCAACGCAAACAAGTTCAAAGTAAGTTCAAAGCAAACAAGTAGAGCAAACAAGTCACACTTCAAAACGTGCGGGGCTCATCATTTTTGCGTCATTTTTTGCAATAATTTTTTCCTAAAAGTACGATAATTTTTTCTCAAGTGTGCTTTTTAAAAAACGCATTACTCGCGAGAAACACAAGTAGAGACTTTTGATTGAACCGAGCAAAAATCGACAAATTTCAGTTTCCCATTTGCACTCCACTTCAACTCGCTCAATGTCAAAAGATCATTAATAGTAAGAAAAAGTTGAATTCTTCTTTTTATTTGAATTTTTCCGATTCGCAAACGTGTTTTTGTGACGTAAAATGTGAGCAACTGCAGTATGATTTGAAGACATCTTATGGGAATTTGAGAGCAAGTGATTCAAGGGTTTCGCTTGATGATGATAATGGGTGATTCTTGAGAGTTTTCGTATAACTAGTAACTCTAATAAAAACGTCTAATACTCTCTAAGTCTAAGTCTAACTCAATCTATTAGTTAACTAGAATCTATTAATTAACTAGAATCTATTAGTTAACTAGAATCTATTAGCTAACTAGAATCCATTAGTCAACTAGAATCTATTAGTTAACTAGAATCTATTAGTTAATTAGAATCTATTAGCTAACTAGAATCTATTACTCAACTAGAATCTATTAAATACTAGAATCTATTAGTTAACTAGAACCTATTAGCTAACTAGAATCTATTAGCTAACTAGAATCTATTAATTAACTAGAATCTATGAGTCAATTAGAATCTATTAGTTAACTAGAGTCTATTAGCTAACTAGAATCTATTAGTCAACTAGAATCTATTCGTTAATTAGAATCTATTAGCTAACTAGAATCTATTAATTAACGAGAATCTATTAGTTAACTAGAATCTATTAATTAACTAGAATCTATTAGTCAACTAGAATCTATTAGTTCCAATTTACTTATAAAATCTGATAGTTGATTATCTAGTGAATGTTTTGTTAATCGTATTTATTAAAATTTATTCAAAGCAATTTCTAGAAATAAATCAACGGACAAGACTTTTAACTTTAAAAATCAAGTCTAGAAAAGAAAAGTTAGCCTTTAAGAATGAAGTTAATCTAGAAAATTCTCGCGAATCCTCGTCAATGTCTATATGAGAGAGATCTCCTACGAACGTCATGAGCAACAGAAACAAATGCAAACAGCCGATTTGTTGAGTAAGACTTTTACGAAGGAAATGTTTTCGAATCGTTTTCTTAATCACGATATCACTTTTCAGGTAACATCGCCGGTTCAATGGGTCTTTTTTTGGGCATGTCAACGGTGACTTTATTAGAGATTTTTATTTATCTCTTTAAATCCGTTTGGGGAACGATTAATAGCGATCGACAAAAGCAATTTGTTGAAGTAAGCGATTTAAAAGATTAAATTTCAAAACGAAACTTTGTAGGCAATGATTATGGAAGAGAATGAACTGCAAAGCGAGCAACAAGTGATCGTTGTTGAAGAGGAGCAGAATGAGGTAAGGATTTGATGAGCTTAAGGATTTGACGAGCTTAACTTCAAAAGCGACTTTTGAAAGTTTCTTGTTGTTTCTTTTTAGCCACTAATGTCATCTGATCAAATGCCATTATTGCACGAGAGAAAAGCGTCAAGACGGATCTCAATTGTGCCCATTTCTGCCTACAATACTGGCTCGATTGGTCAAAGAAAAGCGAGCTTAATGCCTGAGTATCTGGCTGAGGATCGACCGCCAAAGAGGTTTGTTAGCGAAGAATTTGAAAGATCTGTCTTAAAATGATTAAAATGATTTCTGTCATAGTCAGACAGAAATCATTCCTTCTCTTTCTTTCTTTCTTCTAGCTTGTCTTTCCTATTTCTTCTTGAGAAATAGCTGATAGCTCAATGGCGCTGATAGCTCAATGGCGCTGATAGCTCAATGGCGCTGATAGCTCAATGGCGCTGATAGCTCAATGGCGCTGATAGCTCAATGGCGCTGATAGCTCAATGGTAGAGCATCTTCTTGAGAAAAAAAGGCGCTGATAGCTCAGTGATAGAGCATCTTCTTGGTAAGGCTTGGTTCAATTCCCTTGATTCAAAATTCTTTGTCATTCATTTTTATTTTATTAGATCAATCTCTGCGTGCGCTCCACTACTTGGATCAAGACGGGTCTCCCTTGCGAGCAATCATGATCGACGAAGGGCCAGTCATCAGGATTCAGTCGTTACAACAATCGGAATTCCGTGAGTATCAAAAAAAAAACAATAGGAAATGGGTAGAAAATTAGGAGCTCATCGACCGCGTGGAGTTCATTTTCGGCTGAGGAACCGAATCGTATCAACGTTTTCCACACCCGTCGCCACTCGGCCGTTCCAAACAAAAAACGCGGGAGTTTTCTTGATTTTTAAGAGAATAAATTCAAAATTTATTTCAATTACGCAAAAATTTTCGTTAACATGAAAGTTATCAAAATGGGGAGAAGAAATCGCGAAGCTGAGTTGATCTTTTTGCACATTTTCTTTGCATCAGAGATACAATCGCCATCTGAAACTTTTGAATATATTGTACTTTGTACATCAACCCACCAATATATTGTACTTTTTATCTCACTACAGTAAACTGGTAAATGATTCATCTGGCAAAAGCTCAATGTCTTTTTCTTTCTTTCTTTTTCCTCTTTTTTAGGAATTCTGGTTACTGTAATGAAATAATAAGCTACAGCTAATAATAAGCTATCAATTACAGTACCCTGAATAATGTGACTATGATTAGAGTATTCATAAATCCCCATAAAGTAAAAAAAAGAATTGGAGAGAAAAAGAATTTGGAAGCAAGGGGAATCGAACCCACAACCTCAACCCTCGACCCACCCTTACAAGTCGGATGCTCTACCACTGAGCTATCGGGGCCTTTGTTTATCAAGAGATGGGAGAGGGCTAACATCACAAAGCACTCACCAATCCATCCCTGTTTGTCCATGATTTGCGGATCGATATCACAATATCCACCGATATCCTCGCAAACCGAGCGCATCACTTTCCATCGACACGTCATCGTTGAGTTGATCGAACTGGGTTTTTTTGGTTTCAATTTTCATTCAAAAATCACCCACTAGCACTCATCTTTATATCGATAATCTCCGCAATTCGCGTAATGAGTTTGATCTTGCCAATCAGCGCCCGCCCATGCGGCTCGACACCGCGTGTAGGTGTCGTCTGAAAAAATCGATGAAAGGAATGCAATTTCATTTTGTGATTTTCTATTTCTTTTCTTATATTTACAATATTTAATTTTACATCTAGTCAAGGTTTGAATTGAATTGAATTTCCTTTCGCTTTCGATTTCGAGATTTCGAGATTTCGAGCATGTTTTTGAATGATTACAAATTGAAAAGTGGGCAATGAGAAGAGTAGCTGCATAACAGAATAAAGCCAATTTGTCTATTTGTCAATTTGTCAATGAAGCCAATTTGTCTATTTGTCATTTAAAATTCTTTTTTTGAGAAATTAATTCTTTTCGCTTACATGCTGAAGCGTGATCACATCGAAGTTGCATGGCGAGAAAAAGCTGCAAATAGCTCTTCGCCTCCGCCTCGGATCCACTCGGTACAAACTAAATTTGACGAAAAACGTGCTTTATGAAGATTTTCATATGAGATTTTGACAATATCCATTTGGATGTTGCATTTGAAATTTGAAAATATTTGGAAGCAACCCTGAAAATCGTTGGTAAATCATAACAATATGATTTCAAATCGTTCAAACATGTTTTGAAGGTGTCGATGTTGCTGAAAAGAAAACATAGAAACTTGTTTGATAAAAATTGATGTCAAATTCAATTTTCCCACTCACCCGCAAGGAATATTCATCTCATTGATCTTCAACGCTGAATACGCGGGAAATTTCGTGTCTCCATTCGGGATCGTCTGCTTGTAATAGAGCAACGCTTTATAACAAGCAAAAGCTGTCTGAAAAAAAACGATTGTAAAGAAAAGTTCTTTTTTCTTTCAAAATGTTCAATTGATCGTTGAAGCGACAAATTTTGGTACTATATTGTTTGAAATTGTGTTTCAACCCACAATCAACCCCCACAATCAACCCCCACAAAATCAACCCCCACAAAATCAACCCCCACAATCAACCCCCACAAAATCAACCCCGACAATCAACTCACCATCAACCCACAATCAACCCACAATCAACCCACAATCAATCCACCATCAATCCACCATCAATCCACCATCAACTCACAAAATCGAGCAGACTCTTCTAATCGCTCGCCCCTCTCATTTATTTATTCTATCCATTCTATTCCAGCTTTTGTAAATTGTTTATTGAAGTTACAGAAAGCGGTGGATAAAGCTCGAGTCAATAATTCAAGACAAATACATAAGAAAATAGTTTTTTTTAAAAAGCAAAAGAAGTTTGAGGAGAGTGGGACTCGAACTTGAGGGTAAAAGATGTAATGCCACAGTAGCCTAGCAGACTATCCACTAGACCACCGCAACCGTTGTCGAGAGAGCGTGTGACGGCCTCATAAGAAGCTCGAAATTCAAGGTGATTTTCTATATCAAATATCTCGCGTTTGCAAAGCGTTCTGCAGGAACGAAAAACGGATTTGAGATCCCCATGGCCGACTTTATAAGATTGACTTGATCTCGAGTCAAAAGTCAAGCTTGACTCGGTGTCTTTCCCTTGTGAAAGGATTGTACGAGTTGAGACAAGATCAGTTGGCAGAAGTCGAAATTGCTCTTTTCCAATCCCGAGCTCACTCATACTCCTTCCACTTTAAGTAGTTCCTCTCTAACAATTTTCGTGCCTTAACGCTAGTATTTTGTAGATAAATAGTAGATCATCTACTTTGAAAAGAAAATCGATAACAAATCTGAATCAACTCAATCAAATCAATCAAATCAATCGAATCAATCAACTCAATCAACTCAATCAAGCAATCAAGCAATCAAATCAAACAACTCAATCAACTCAACTCGATCAACTCAATCAACTCGATCAACTCGATCAACTCGATCAACTCGATCAAATCAACTCAACTCAATCAACTCAACTCAACTCGATCAACTCAATCAGCTCAATCAACTCAATCAACTCGATCAACTCGATCAAATCAACTCAACTCAATCTCTTTCTCAATCTTTCAATCTATTAATTTGTCCGATGGGGAACAGGTTGAGCTTTTTGAGCCATTTTAAGTGCCAATTTTTTCCAAAATTGAAAACACACTGTTTTCTGGCAAAATTCTTCCATTTTCCTGTGACAACATGTGAAAAAAGTGCACCAGAAAGGGTGATTTTATAATTATCAAGCAGACAAGGCAATAGATCGGAACCAGAGAAAAAAGAGAAAAACTTTTTTGTCCATTATCTGGTTTTCAAACTTATAATCTATATCATTTTTTGTTATATATTATATTAGAATGTTTAAATTAGCAATTTGCATACCGGAATACTTGTAATATTACTTCTATTACAGGTATTATGATCGATAAAGTCAATCTTTGCCCACCACAAAGTCAATTTGCTCACAACTCGACGGAGCGATGCTTCGCTCTTCGGGATTTAAAAGATCTTGTGAAAAAACTGAAAAAATTTCAAAATACAACTATTTTCTCATCACTTACCTAAATAAATAATTAATAAAAAAGAAGAGAAATCACTTCGTAATAAAATGAATATTGGAATTCAGAATTAGAACTTAAAAAGCGAATAATCAGCGGAACAGTGTGTGCAACCGACCCTCCGGAGAGAAAAAGGTAATCGACTCAGAATTTTTTTATTAACAAAGCCCCAAAACAAGGACAAGAAAATTTTCAGCTTTTCTGTACTGTTTCTCAAAAAGAAATCTACACCCACACCCTCAGCACCTTGAATCACAGAAAGAGAAGCTTTTACTCAGAGTTGGAGAGCCTGTATAAATTTAAAAAGCTCATACTCGTAAAAACAGTTGCAAAAACACATATTTTATGCCGAATTTTCGTTTTATTTTACAAAACTTATAATTCCATTGTAAATAAGTTAAAGAAATGTGTAAATTCTCAAAAATGTTAACAAAATGAGCAAAGTTTCCGAAAGAAATCTCAGGTTGCCAATAAGGCGGATCCTCGTACGTCATAGCTTTCAACATCTTCATCCGGAAAACGAAAGAAATCTTGTTAGAACTCCAGCCAAATATCTAGAAGCATATTTTCGTCGTAACTCAAAGTTTAAACTCCATCTTACCATTCGGCAAATCGTAGCTACAAAAGATTCAAAAATTCCTTTATGTTACGTTTCATACAAAAAAGAAAAAGAAAAAAAGTCAGGTTATAATAATAAAACAATGGGAAGTTATCGGCGACTTAGTTTGCAACACAAATAATCATTAATTTACAAATTAAGATCTAGGAATATTCTATCGCCGAGGAGAGATGGGGGATGATGTGGGAGCATTTATTTATATTTACTTTTAGGAGGAGAAGGCCCAGCTTTATTGCTTGTTTCCAGCCTTAGACAAGTCTACCCATTTGATCCTCTCAATATCCCAACCTGAGGGTGGGGGCCCCAGGGTACCGGCCGCTCAGCTAGGCTAGGGACCGGGATTCTTATGAATCAGCCTCGGCACCACATGGGTGTGGCTACCACAGCACCTGTTCAGGTAAGACTTCCTGACTCCATCTGCACTGGTCTTGGAACCCAGTTCAATATGGCGGCGTGAGCTACCTACGGCACCGGTCTGTGGAAGAGATCCCTGACTCATCCAAGCGATTCGAACCTTATAATCAACTGAGCTCAACGCCAAGCCGCAACTTGGCAGATACCGTGCTTAAACGGGGGGAGGCCGTAGCTAGTTGGCGCACCCACGATCACTCCTTACTACCTTACTCAAAAAACATACTTTCTCAGCAATTCAATCTCCGAAAAGAAACTTTATTCTTTCACGGAACCTTCACCCTAATATTACTATATCACGCATAAGAGACGCTTCCACCTTTTCCAATACACTTTAGAAAGAGAACGAGCTGACAACGAGCCACCGTACCGCGATCCCCAAATAAAAGTGCTAACAAACCGGCTTCGGCCGTCACTTACTGGTGGGCAGAAACACACCCTTCCTAGGGGCACCGGGGCCACTTTTTTTTTACGGTAATAAGCCAAAAAAAGTGCGGGGCACGGTGCTGATGCTTCGAACGCGATCAAAGAGCACTCCAGACTCTAGTTCAAGCTCTTCATTTTCATTTCCTTTCCTTTAAATTTTGGTGATTAATCTCAAACGTTAAGCTTCCACGACATTATCTAAAAAACAAAAGAACAAAACCGCATTACGCATTCCGGATTATGCCAATCATCATCACATCGATTTAAAATCGCCTCATTCAACTGTCGTTAATACTTTTCTTTATGGTATCGGAAATATTAGCAATAACCAAATTTGTTTACTTATAATTAATAAGTTAATATTTCTTTTCCCTTGGTCCGGGGGAGCTTATTTCTCCTAAAAGTCGTAACATTTTTTCTATCACCGCAGCAGAGAGTTCTTTCAAAAAAAGTGCCAGTAACTCTTCAAGGCAAAATGCTAAAATCATCTAGAAACCCGGGAGATATTACTTCCATAATACAGTAAACAGGGGTTTTCCTATGAAAACCGTAATGTTTAAACTTAAGTCTTACCAAAAAAACAAACCATTTATTTTGGTGACAAAAGAAAGAGTCCTCAAAGCTAGGCAATCTTTTGTATTTTGAGCCCATACACGATTCGAGACTTGAGTAGCGTCTGGAAAATGATTTAGAGGACAGAAGACATCAATACAGAAGACATCAAGACAGAAGAGATTCAATACAGAAGACATTCAATACAGGTGCCGACATCAAGACAGAAGAGATCTCGTCAAGCAGAAGATATCGCATAGAAGAGGTGGATTCCACATGGTGAAGAGATTCAATACAGAAGACAGGTTCAATACAAAGATATTCAAGACAGAAGATTCAATACAGAAGACATTCAATTACAGAAGACATTCAAGATAGAAGGCAAGAGATTCAATACAGAAGACATTCTAATACAGAAAACATGAACAATGTAATCTTTAAGATGGAAAAAGATGAGATTATAAAGAAAAAAGGGGGGAAAAAAAAAGAAAAAGAAAAAGAAACAATCTTTAAACCACTCGCACAAGTGTAACTGAATCGAGGAAACCGCCCTCCAACGAAAAGCTGGTGGAAACAATCGTAGAGTCCTGTTTTATCGAGTGGATATCCATAAAGGGAGACAAATGCTCCAAGATATTGCTGAGTCATCTAAAAGAAAAATTCCTGTGCGATCTTTACTATTTCGCCTCCCTCCCTCTATAACTCTCTATTTTCTTCTCTTACTTATTAGGGCTCTCAAAAGCAAGTCCCAAAAAACATTCCTAAACCCTGACATACAACTTTTCGCAGACGATCGTGTAACAACTGTCATTAAATAACCTTAATAATCTGTTTCACGGACTTCTTGGTATCTCGGGCACAGAACAAGACAAAAAAATAGAGGTTACGGAGGGAAAAAAATTTAGAAAAACAGGAGAGAAGCTATTGCAACTTACCGTAGCCTCATCAACGGTGCAACTTTGGATGAATGGACCGGGTTTACCTGAAAATATTTCCACGATGAAAAGGGGGCGTTAAAGCAGACAAAAAAAATCGGGGGGGGGGGAATATGAAAAGAATGAAAGAAAACTAAAATTTCATTCTTCAGAAAAGCTCAGAACGGGCAACATTGGCAGCCGTTTGATTTATTCGTTTTTTAATAGATCGGGCGCCTTTGCAAGGAACAAATCTGGCTGGGCGTGTATACTAGCAATCAGGGGATGGGGAACTGAATCTCGGTAAGCCATTTCATTTATAGTCACCTCAAAGACTTGAAATAGAGTAATGGCATTTTGACGAGTCTTGGCATTGAGAGATGAAAGAAATTTTTCTAGCTTCTTAAGGGATAAAGCAAAAGGTATAAAGCAAAAGGTTAAAGCAAGTAGGATAAAGCAAATAATGGTTTCTTCTTTCTTCTTCTCTTCTTCGAATTGTCGAAATTTCTGCCCATTGAAAGTGACTAAACCCCCGGTAAGATATTTAGTCTCCATGCCAAAAAAGTTAACAAATGATGGCTTGAGTCGTCCGACTTGCGGGTGGAGTAAAAATCGCCTACCCTATGTTTTTGCTGCTTATCGTGAAAATTGATCAAAGTGCCCCTTATTCGTCGGATTTAACGTTATAGAGCATCTCTGGGCCTACTTTTAAAGTACTAAACTCGGGGGCAAGATATTCACCACAAAGGTCGAGCTTTGGCCTTTTACTGGTGAAACGTTTGGCGACAAATTTCTTCGGTAATTCTAATACGCAATTTGGTCGATTCAATGCCTCAACGTATTCAAGCAGTGATTTTGGCTAAAAGACCGGCAAAATGTTAATCGAGCTTTCCTTTTTCAATGGTGGGACAAGACTTTTCCACCGTATATTTTTTGATTTTAAACTTTGTGTGATTAGAATTCAAAACGAACGATAAATTTGGTTTCTCGACCATAGAAAAGCCTTTTAACATTATGTTCAAAAACAAAAACCCTATTTCTTAAACATTTAAAAACTACCGTGGCGCAGAATGAACATCAAGAGATTATTGCGTGAAACGAGGTAAACAAAATATTAGAGAATCGCTATCCGGTATACTTTCTCGTGCTCTTTCCGTCCAAAACCAACAAATGCACCAATTAAACTACAATTTATTTAATTTTTTAAAAGTATATTTATTCGACACAAATAATGAATTACAACAAAAAGGAGGAAATTTTTATTCCTAATTATTATTATTACCCTATTACCCAAATGTTGTTAAGAAAAAGAACCCATAATAATGGGAAAAAGAAGCATTCTTTCTAGCCGCCGGGATCGAACCCTACTCCACGACACCTACCCCCCGACTAGAAGGCAACTAGGAGGCGACTAGGAGGCATCCTATCTGGTCGGCTACTGGCGATTTGGCTTTTTCTTCATTCATTTCATTCTATAAATTATCCAAATTATTCAAATTCATTCACTTCATTCAAATTCATTCAATTCTCATTCAATTTCATTCAAATTACCTTCAATTTCATTCAATTCATCCAAATTCATTCACCAAATTCATTCAAATTCTACTCAAATTCATTCTAAAGGGGGGAATTCATTCAAATTCATTCAAATTCATTCAAATTCATTCAATTTCATTCAAATTCATTCAAATTCATTCAATTCATTCAAATTCATCCAAATTCATTCAAATTCATTCAAATTATTCAAATTATCTAATTTAGTCTCAAATTATCTAAATTCATTCAAATTCATTTTCAAATTATCTCAAATTCAATCACCCAATCAAATTCATTCAAAAAAACCAATTATTTCTCTGCAAAATAACATTAAAACGAGTTTTAAATGTCTTATTTCTTGATTAAAATGTCTGGATTTTTACAGAGAGCGACAACTGGCGAAATGTATGTGGTAGCTTGATGATGGGTTTAACATTTTATCTTGCATGGGAAATAGATAAAAAGGAAATAGATAAAAGAAATAGATTTACCTAAGGAAAATAGATAAAAGATAGAATAAAAAAATGTGAATGGTGCAGTATGGCAGGGAAGTTTTTATAAAGCTAAATTTTCAGAGAAATTCATTCAGCCAGAGCTTTTATTTTTTTAATTTTTATATAGATACTTTCTTTTTTTAGAGATTTTTATATAGATACTTTCTATGTTTATATAGATAAATTCAGAATCTGAAACAAAGCGCCAGATTTGCGTTAGCCACACAGCTGAAAAGCACCTTCTTTTGGGGAAAAAGATCTTTTCACTTCATAAATTTGCTAGAAAAGTGAACTGGAAATTGACTTAAAGTTAGATAAAAGATACTGGATCTTAGAATAAAAAAAAACACTTTTTAAACACTTTATTTAAAGAAAATCATTCATTCATTAGTGAATTTGTTGCTTTTTAAGAAAACAAAAGTATGAAAAGAAATGAAAAGAAATGAAAGCATTTTCTCGATAGCTTAATACTTTAAAGTGAAGTTCGCTGGACTTTTGACGAAATCAATTTCAATTTTTCTTTCTTTTCTTCTTATTTTTGAATGTAAGAAGCGGTGGAGAAGAAAAGAAACCCATAAACAATCAAATTTAGCTATTTTTTCTTTAGATGGAAAGATTGAATCGAAAAAAAAACTGTCAATAAAATAACTCTAAATTCACAGCGAGAATTTTGTCAAAAAGTTTTGTGATTCGGGGTTTAGAGCGAGGCATTTAAAAAGTGACGTACTCTTAAGGGGTGTTAAACAAAAATGCATTTCAAAAGTGAGTACTTCAAAAGTGAGTAAATACTTTTGTTAATCAATCTGTAAATGTAGTGAGACGTAGCTATTATTTAACCTTTCGATGGGCGTATCTTTAAGATCACACTTCTCAAGATAAACTTTAATCCAAAGAATAGACAAAGAATAGACTTTAAAATCACCTACCTTCGGAGGAACTGGAAATTATGGAAATTCTGCAACAATGTTATCGATTAGGCGAAATCGATTAGATTAGAGCCAGTCTTTTCCCCCCCCCCCCCCCACTGAACTGGCTAAGAGCGAGGTAATCGATTAGAGGCATCCAATTGAATCATTTAGAGCCATGCAAGCGATTAGAGAGGTATTCAATTAACTGTTTCAGAGCTTGGAAAATCGATTAGAGCCGTCTGACCGAATCGTTTATATATGCAATCGATTAGAGCTATTCAATTGAATCGTTTAGAGCTATGCAATCGATTGGGGGGGGTGAGTCTTTCATTCAACCCCCCCGAACTCCCCCCGGGGGCGTTTAAAGGTTTATAAACGATTAGAGCGTTATTCAATTGAATCAATTTACCACCCTTGCTATGTTTTATTCCAAATTTTCCAAAACAAAAAAACTTTTCTCTTCTCTTTGAACTTTCGAACGAAATAAAGCTTGACACCAAACAAATAGAATTCATAATGGCCATGCATAAAGGAATATCTTAAAAATGACTTAACAAAAGAAACCGGAAAATTTCTCATGTATTTTCTTTTCTTCATTAAGCCGCTATTGCTCGATCATTATCTTGCCGGTTTTCTTGTTTTTCTTCTTCAATCGACGAGCCCCTGACGATGGCTGCCGGGAACGATTTTGATCTGCCTCGACAGTGGGCACCGGAGTGTCCCTCTGTTAAACTGAAATAACTTTGTTTTTACTAGGGAAAGTCGCCAACTTCAGATGGAATTCGAAAACGGTAATCTTATCCATCCCATCTCTGTTCAGCTTGTAGCTTTCAGTAATCAGTTTTAGCTTTTAGTTTCTTTAGTTCAGTTCAGGCCTGGGAACCTCGCTTTTTAGTTTTCTGAATGGCTTCAAACGCGGCGAATTTGTCTTTAAAGTTTTAGCTATTTCTTTCTTTGAGGCTTCGTGGCTGGTCGGTTGTCCCTGTGGGCAAGATAGGCTTGTCGCTACAAAAGTTTTCCGAATACAAAAGTTTTCCCCTTTTCGAGGGAAAGTCGATTCCTCGCTGGAGGAGACTGACTAAAAGCCCCGACTCCCTCCGTAGTTAGTATCAACAAAACATATCAGTGTTGGGCCAGCTAAAATCTGCTAAATAAACTGTATTATAAGGCTGGGCTTTGCCAGACGGAAATTTCTGAAACTGCCAGCTGGTGGGGCTATTTTGAAAACTGTCAATAGTTCAGAGCTTCCAAAGTCGAGGCGTGTTGGGCTTTCTAGACTCAGACTCAAGAAACGGAGAAAGTTGACAATGCCTTAAAGAAGCAATAATTGAGAGGAACTCGACAGCATATAAATAATAATCCCATCCTGGCCAAAACCACCGGCCCGATCTAATGTGGGCAAGTCTAGATTGGGCCAAAGCAACCAGATCTGGGCTAGGCTATGTAAACCAGAGCTAGGGCTATAAAACCAGAGCTTCAGGGCTGGGCAAACCAGAGCTTAGGGCTATAAACCAGAGCTACGGCAGAAACCAGAATCTGGGGCTAGGCTGCAAACCAACCTGGGCTAGGCTACAAACCAGACCTGGGTTAGGCTACAAACAAGAGCTAGCCACAAACCTGACTCTTAAGCCAATGCCCATACTAAGTAGCTGTATCTGTGTGGCATTTCCTGAAATCCGTTCATAGTTCAGAGTCGAACCACGAGCCCCAGTTTAGCCAGTTTAGGCCATATGTCCTAGCTCAAAAATAAGTGCCGTCCACACAAGCCAAGGATCAGCCCAATCGGACACAACTTG